ACTCTATCCCCTTTACTATAAAACAAGGTGTTTAAGAAAATTTATCTCTAAGGACAAAATAAGGAATCTGTATTATCATGCTGATGATTTGTTTCCGTTTGAGATATATGACCATTCAAAGTATTGGTTACGATATATTATACACATATATACTAATAATGTTCTAAAAAGGTCACTAACATTTTCAGTATAATAATTAAAAAATTTCACAAACAGCAACTTGTTTTGCCTACTACCTACCTGATCATGTCAGTGGGGGTAGCCCCTAGACAGCTCAGCCTATCGCTACAAAATTTCTCCAGCTTATTTGACTGGTTTGTGGGTATCCGCTTTTGATAACCCAATAAATAGATACACATATTTTTATAAATGGTAAACATATCATGCATATCTTATTTTTGTTAATGGACTTGCACACACTAAATAAAAATTGTAATACTTCCAGTCAAGTGTTAGAAGGGTGCTTTTCTGTTGCTTCCAGCATTCTTAGTGGAATATAAGTTATAAATAATGTTTTCCAAATATATTATTATCAAACAGTCTAAATGTAATATACCCATCTAGAATACTTCAACAAATGCTACTATAAAGATGATCCCTTATGTGTATGTGTGTTAGAATCAATCACCCAGAGTTAACAGGTTTGATTACCATAATTTTTGGTATGACAACTGGAAACTGTCCAGTGATGTCCATGGGATATTTTGTTTTGGGCTTTTTGCTCAAGAATGGAGATTTAAAAAAAAAGCCTCTGAAATAGGGCACATTTCTATTTTTTTTAATAGACTTTTGGCTTTGAATTTAAAGACACAAGTATTTAATCAGTTGAATGAGTCAATTATTACCTTCCACAAAGCAGTGTATGCAGTTAGTATCTGATGAGGTCATTAGGAGTTTAAGAACAAAACAGGGAAGGAAGGGGAACATTATTTAACATTGTGAATTATACAATTTTTGCTTCCTTAACAGGTACCTTTAACTAGTTTAATTAAACCTACTTAAAATATGTTTAAGATATATGTATATTACATACTTTATTAGAAAATTGGGTAAGGAACATTTAGAAACTTTATAGTATCAAATATATTTCCTACACATATTGTTATATTTGTGTAAAAATTTTTAATGTTTTCAGTTGTTTGATTGGAAATTTAGGGATTCACTTGTTTACAAAATATTCACTTTCATCTCTAGAGACCAGGTTTCACCAATTGCAGTTGACATTTTCTCTGTTACCAGTAAAAGCAGTAACAATTCATCATTGTCTCTGTTGACGACCACTACTACCATCATGTTCTCTGATGTTGCCACAGTGGAAACTTCTAATGATAGGCACATGGTCATTTATCCTTTGGACCTGACAGACATAAACCAAAACCTCTGTGCCTGGCCTTCTCAAGTTCACAATGAAGATGTCACTGGAATGCCTCCACAAAAGGACAGTCCAATATTCTCTATTGCTATGGGAATGAAGAGTAAAAGGAATATAATGACAAACAAAAATGAACAAAATGCTAAATGTAAGTTTTATGTTAGAAACTTTCCTGCAGGAGTGAATGTTGCATAATTGAGACAAAATTTGTTGTATGGAACCTTGATAAGCAGGAGTGAATGTTGCATAACTGAAACAAGATTTGTGGTATGGAATCTTGATATGCAGGAATGAATGTTGCATAATAGAGGCAAAATTTGTGGTATTAACTCTTGATAAGCAGGAGTGAATGTTGCATAATTGAAAGAAGATTTGTGGTATGGAACCTTGATATGCAGGAATGAATGTTGCATAATAGAGGCAAAATTTGTGGTATTAACTCTTGATAAGCAGGAGTGAATGTTGTGTAATTGAAACAAGATTTGTGGTATTGACTCTTGATAAACAGGAGTGAATGTTGTATAATTGAAACAAGATTTGTGGTATTGACCTTGATAAACAGAAGTGAATGTTGCATAATTGAAACAAGATTTGTGGTATTGACTCTTGATAAACAGAAGTGAATGTTGTATAATTGAAACAAGATTTGTGGTATTGACTCTTGATAAACAGAAGTGAATGTTGTATAATTGAA